CATTGTTTGCATGCTTTTTTTTTAACATAAAAGTTCTCATTATATATCATGCCATGGGTCCCAATAAAATCAGTGGTAAAGTTCAACCTAGGAAAATAGTTGCGAGTATGACGATAGAGGAAAAACAAGAGATCATTCATAGTGAGAATGTGATGTCTCACTACAGACAAGTGTTAAAACGTAGGGAATAACAAGTGTCTACAGACAGATTCTTAGTAAGACAAGCAAGCAGTGAGACACAAGCAGGTACTTGTGGTATGCCTGCAAAATGTAGGAAAGGGAGTACCCCAGAAATGTCATCACTGCTGTTATAATGGAAGGGGACTCCCCTTCCAAACACTAACACCTCTCCTCCTCCTCACCGTCTTCCATACGCTAACAAGTCCTCATTCAAGGTAAGATATACATACAGTACTGTATTGTAGCTAGTACAAAATGAGTGTTATTAGGTATAAAATGTAATTTTAAGTTAATATTTTTGGGGGTGTGGAACAGATTAATTAAATTTATATTATTTCTTTTGGGAAAATTAGTTTTGGTTGACGATGTGTGTCTGGGAACGGATCACGATCGTAAACAAAGGTACCACTGTACAGTATTAAGCTTTCTATTTTAAAAATGGAAGTTCAAAACTTTAATAATTTATCCAGTTAACAATGAGACTGGTATATTATTAAGAGAGAGAAAATTGCAATATACAAAACAAATGGTCTTTCACTAGGCACCATATCACAAGAGGTCTTTCAACTTTATACCAACACTGAACTTAAAAACTTCATACAGTACTATTATAACAATTATCAACATACGGTGCCAAACCTGCAACTATTATAACAAGAAAGAGCAAATAATGTCTTGTTTTAACTCAGCAATGTGAATGTAAAGTTAATGGGAACTTTATTTGAAAATTCGTCACTGAAAACTCAAAACTATACGGCTCAATTTTACCGAGATAAAGCTAACTTTTTCCTCTTCATTGGTACTAATATAATTTAATTTTAGTAAATTAGTATTTTGGTTTCAAAACCTTTACTATCCACTACAGATCATTAACCTTCCACCTGCACTGACCATTCACAAATAATCTACTCATAAATTCCATATTCTGATTTAGGAAGCACTGAATTTTTACCAAGATCAGCATATTATTGATTAACTACTAAAAGCAAAAAAACTGACACCTCAATCTTATTTACCAAATATAAAATTTAAAAACTAGCTTCCTAATGTCAATGTAAGCATCCATGGACGTGAAGATGTAAAACATTTTGAACGCAACATTAAGAAATTAGAAATTACACGTGCTGTGTGGTATCTCATATGTTAAAATGTTGCTTAGTAACATGGAATTTGTTCATTGTGTATATGCAAAGTATTGCACTGTCTGTGCCTTGTGTAAATAAGTAGTCAATTTATATATAACTTATATTTATAAAAGGACCTAATATTTTGTGGCTGTTCCTACTACGAGCAGAAAAATTTGGCATTTCTTTAATTACTGTACAGTACTTTTAAATATATATTATCTTTCAGTAAATTAACTGCAAAATAAGTGTTGATATGTGTGTGTGGCACTCACAGTGAACATGCCTAACAGTTCACTGGGTTACTTGAAGATAAATATTAAAAGTTTCAAATATTATATTACGGAGTTAATCTATGCTTAACTTTCCTTCATGAACATCTTGGAGTGTCTCCATGTTATCAAGATTCACTTAATTATATTCTGGCTCCAAATATTCGGTATGACTGGATTGCACTAAACTTATTGTCTGAGCTAATGAGCAATCAGAATACTGACCACAAAACATTACCACGATAGAAAACGCACACTGAATTATCAAAACAAATACTAAGCTGACATTAACTACTACAATGGTCACACCATTCATGATTCTCTCTATGACACAATGCGGTACTTCACCAATTAACAGTGCACATTATAAATGGGAAGAATGAATATGGGATGAGAATTTACCTTAAGCCAAGTTGCAGTTAATACAGATACTGTATTTGCAATGAATCTCAGTGTCAGTCTTGACTAACTACATAGTCATCCATAAAAGCCACATAACATGTACAGTACTGAGTTTCCCAGTTTGTGAGGCACCTTGGGCATGTCTGGGAGAAACCCAGTCTAACATGCACACACTCTGGCGTTGATACACATCTACACAATTTAAAATTTAATATAAAATGTATAATATTGCTAAATTATTAAATACAGTATAATGAAAAGCCTTGTTACCAAGATATGTCAATGGAAATTAAGAGACAGTTGAATAAATTTTCAAAGAATGAAACTAAAGCACAGTATGACAAATGGGTTGTGATAACAGTCTGCAATTATTATTCAACAAATTGAATAAAAGTTATAGGATAACATAACTGTTTTCCCTCTCAAAATGAAATGTTTAAACATGTTGTTATGATAAATGCCACAACTGCAGTCCATTATAACGGGCACAAGGTTCACAAATACTAGAATCCTTAACATGTCCAGAAAATTTGACAAATCTTCATTAAGTTCTTAACCCTTTCAAGATACATTAACATAGCCTTTAAAAAAATAAATAAATAAAAAATAATAATAATAATTAGCAAGACAGTGTACATCATAATTGTACATATGATGGTGTCTACTGGGAATGACTTTATTTGGTTTTACCAGCACATATATTATTTCAATACAAACTATGAATAAGCAAATTGATTTAGTAGATACAGTTAGCCTGAAGTACATGTTTAAATAAGTCACCTTTTCAATTTGGTAAAAAAGCTCATCTTGAATATAATACATTACAAAATTATTATGAATGCATCTCTTGTCAGAATGATTGTAAAATTTATAGGACCTTAAAATTGTCACCATAAAATCTCAGGGCATAAATTTAAATATATAATATGCCAACCAATTATTAACCTTTCTCGGTTGTTGATATAATAGGTTATAGGCAGTGTAATTTTTCCAGCTCATATATACCATTTTCACAAATAGGAAAAGTCAATTTTGTTACATTCTCTGAAGCCTCAGGAGCAGGCAGATCAGTACACTTGCTGGATATCTCACAACTGACAACACTGTAATTATAAGCACTCTTTCCTTGCTTCTTTTCACTTCATTGTTAACTATATGATGCCTACAGAATGTTCATATATTCCCACAATTTCAAAAAAAAAAAAAAAAAAAAAAAAAAAAATGGTTAAAAGCACTTTAATTATAAAATATCTTGCTTTCCTTCTGAACATGCATGAGAACATTGGTTAGGTAATGATCTATAAAATATTCTCTGACAAAATTACAATTTTAATTAAGCTTCCTGACTCTAGTTCAATGCAGCAGGCCTATTCCAAGTGAAAATGGTGAAGCTGAAAAAGATGAATTCATATCATTTGTACACTCAAAAACATCACAAGCATTAAATGCAACATCAATTATGAATTATTTAGACCTTATTGTTTTATAAAAAATTGTAATACAAGTTATATAACAAAGAGCAGTCAATGCTTTATGAAATTCATGGTCCAAATTCTCAGGTTGCCATTAGTATAAGTTTGGGTAGTTTGGTTCAACACCTCGTCTGATGGAACAGGAAGACAATTTGTGCTACAAATACTTGCCGGTTAATTTCTAAATGCATTCAAGGCTAACATAGAATTTGGACATTAAATATTTGCTTAGCCATGGACTCAGGAAGGCACAACATTTTACGTATGTCCTGGAAAAGGACGTAAAGATGGTTTTGTGCAAAGTATGAATTCACCTTAAGGTTCCAATGGCACTGCATCTCATATAAAAGTTTCTCTCACAAGAGGATATAATGTTCTTGAAACACAACAAAACAAGAGAGCCAATTAGTTTAGTGACTTCAATTTTTAATTGTTATAGGATAAACTACTTAAAACTGGTATGAGGCATCATAACCTTTGCTATCTACTATATTCTTTGCTATGTAAATTTATGTTAAAGAAATAATATATACAGTGTACATAATTATGTAAATATAATAAAATATAATTTTATAATTACAAATATTATACAGTAATTAATTAAACTGTACTGCAATGATTGTAATTAAAATATAATAAGTAAAATTCTAAAAAATAATTTGTTTAATTTCCAAACACTTGGTAAATAACAAAGATAACTGCTTTACCAGTTAGAAGGAAAACTATACAATAATAAAATGTCTTGGGAGTTCATCTTAATATGTTATAACTGCAGTAGCCTACAGCTGAAGAAGACATTAGAGGGATGTCTCTATGTCACTACACAGTAGGAGATGACCATGATAAGTATACAGTATGACTCATCAAGCTGCACATATACATTTTCTTAAAAGTCATGTTCCATGTCATTTGCACATGTAATTTCAATAGTCTGTACAATATATATCAAACACTGCAACATAACAGAAAATTTTCACTCTTAAATGTACATTACAGGCCTTCATCAAGAATGAAAACGGGATATGCTTTTCATATAGAAAAATCTGTCAGTTTAAAAATAATACATCTGCTATGGAACGGCACTGGACATTATTAAAAAGAAGAAAGATTTAACTTTACAAACTTTAAACCTGTGCTAAGTTAAGATACAAAATCCATACTATTTTATGCTTCAATACTATAATCATGATCACTGAAATTACAACTTTTCCAAATACCATTACTATACATGCTTTAGTATATGGAATAATTAAGCATCTGTTTCATGAACAGAGTAATTATCAAAGGAACTGATTACAATCAATGAAGCACTGAGTCACAATTTTGTCTCCCAACTGCCATCAAGTTCATAACATAAGAAGCTAATAAAAGATAAAAAAATAAAAATAAAACTTCAAGGCAGGACACTAACACCAGACGGTTCATTGTAAAACCATCTAGATTATATTACTATTTGCAAAATTATGTCAGCATTGATCCAGTAGCATTATTTTTGGCAGTACTCATCCCACTGGGATCATACCGACACAATGGTATTCTCTATTCTCTGCAGAATAATATGAAATCCAATTGCTCCACTGGGATAATATGGATTCACACAAAGAGCATTAGTTCTAACAGGACAATGCAGACTGGGATCAAAATAAGGTACTTCCTAGGTAAAGTGACTCCTGTTGGGTATATATAAAGACTGGCAAAATAATATTAACACTGGCAGGATAATATTAATCTAGGAATAATATTACCTCTGGAGGACTTGGTGGTAGGACAAAAAACACAGACTTAACAAGAGTAACTACAAGCCAATTTAGAAGATGCATTCAGAGCAAACAGTGCACTCACGATGTCACAACAACACACAAAACACTGTTGCAATCAAACTCGGTTATCTCTTGCAGAATACATGAATACAACAGCAGCAAGCTAATGTCAGCACTCGGCAAGGATAAGTTACTTGAGACACAGACGACCTAGTATGTTTGGAGGACATCTAGAGAGTAGTGCTTAACCTGAGGCAATCTGCTGAATAGGGACCTACATCCTGGGAGCTTATGCACATTCTAAATATAACACCTCCCCACCCACCCTTAACAGTTTGTAAACATTTACAAAACAATATATGTTACCATATTTTGTGGCAAAACTTCATGAAAATATTGAAATGACCCCAACTGCATAATCCAATCTGAGACGCCAAATTACATTCACCAGACATGTAGGACATTCCTTGTAAACAGGAGTTTCCTCACAGTCACTTGTTGGGGGCAAAATATATTTGCTTTGTACTGGGCACATGAGCTGGTCATTTCGAATTTGGCTCTGAAATCAAGATCACAAAGTATTAGTCAAGAAAAAATTACCAAAACTTTTCACCATCTGCACCTTATAAACAGCATTATTTATAATTATTTTCCCATAATGCAGGAGCATATGTTTTAAACAAAATTTGAGACTTGGCTCTCTCTCTCACCGTCCTGTTTATTTGTCAGTCTGATTCTCATGTCTATTTACCTAGCTCACCCTATGTATCTCTAGTGTCTTTAACACTTTTTAAGAACTTGAATTCTGAGGTACCAGCCATAAATTTGTTGCAACTAAAGTTGAATGAAGTAAACTTTTTCACTGCTGTTAACTACATTTATTATAAATTATCTAAAATCATAACAAACTATGCATAACTCAGAGGAACTCAAAAATTCAAAGGAGCTATGGAGCCACAAATGCCCAGTCTGAATGATCCATCACACAATGGCAACATCTTAAAGAGTTTATCAACCCATGAAAATAAGTAATACTGTACATAATTCTAAGAGAGCAAAGAGTCTGTGCACTTATGTACAACAAAAATAGAGCTTAACAGAACAGCTTGATTACTAGGGAGAAGAAACAATAATTGTCAGACAAAACAACCTGACTGAGATGCATACAAAAATTTAAGAATTGAATGCAATGAAATGCCTATTCTGAAAGGCACTCGGTAGCATACTGGCACAATAAGCCTGCTTATTGTGACAAGCTTCCGAGACCCAAGTAAGCCTACCGGGAGCCAGGACTATAACCTTGTTCTTTCTACAAGGAGAATTTGGGGATCTGAGATCTACCCAAAACTGAGGAAACCAATCAGAAACATTAGGTAAAACAAAACAAACTACTGTTAATGTGCCATGCTACCTTAAGATGATATCCCATGGCTTCTGGATTCTTAACCAAGCACCTACCTCATTCATAAGCCACCAGAAGAGAATCCCAAAAATCACAACGAGAAACAGGTGAAAAGACGGAGAGGGGAACTCTTGAGGGCCTACCATAAAGGGGCGCTTTACTACATTCAACACCTAATTTTTGGGAAGGCTCCTGTCAATGGCTTCCTGATGCTTAGCCTGTTTACTACCTGTTGAAGATTCTGGGGATCATTGTCAATGTGGCCAAGTTTCTGACCAGGCTGCTGGTTGATAATCAACCAGCTGATCAACCTGATCATCATGGGGGGGGGGGGGGGTCAGGTTTTGGCTCATAGTCCCCAGTAGGCAAAGGACTCCTGTGACTGATGACCTATAAAGCTAATAGAGCACTATATCACTTCGGATAGATTCAGGAAGCATCCAGTGCTAGCCCAGAAAATGGCATTTCATTACATACATCAATGGTTTTTTGTACATTCGACCAAATAGTTACTTTAAGCACTATCATTATTAGGAGAATGGTTTGGAAAATTGGAAGAAACATCTGAAATAATGATCAGGATGAGGGTCCCATATGGAAACCACAAGAAGAAAACAATCAGACAACCAATGGCCAGACAGGAACAACCCAAATAACAATTGGGGGCCCTAGCTGCCACCACTGAAGCCAGGAATAGAGGTAGCTAAAGCCTAAACAACCAACCCGCTCAACAACGGGGGACTGGTAGATCCAGGCCCATCCATTTCCCATACACCTGTGAACTCTGGCCCTTCATCTCAGGCAAAGCCACACATCACCTGCTTTGACAAACACTTGTTCACTGATATAGGTGAGTAAATCCAACTTGCAAAGTGTGCACTGCAACTGGGGATTTGCTGAAATGAGGTTGTACTCTTCTTCAAAATTATATTTAAAAAGCCTCATACCTATGTAGTTCTTACATTCACTTACTAATCCCTTTGCCTTTAGTATTATTGACTGCCCTAGTCAATTTACACACAATGCTACTTCTCTAGTTCTGTTTTCCACTTTTTATCATCTAATCCCTAAACTGTACCTTTTATTTGTATTATTCCAGTTAGAGTACTATTCAACATTTCTCTTCAACAACTTGGAAATTTCTTGGGAAAAACAAAATAAAAGTGAAGCAAAATATGAGAAAAATGTGATCAAATGTGTGTTTAATAGAGTTCAATTGCTAATACATAACTAACCTCCTAAAGCACGCTCCAAAGTGGCCTAATCATCATCATCATCATCCGGGGCCTCATCAAATTTGCCATTTGCAATATCTGCTCGAAGGGTGACCAGTTGAGGTGCCTCATGAAATCGTTTTACTCCTCTTGGCAGTGCCCGGCAGGAGGTTAGGTTAAGGTTCACTAGATGACTACATCTATCTAATACTCGCCGAATAGATTTGAATGTTACTGAGGACCCACACATGTTCAGGTACCTGTTGATAATAAAAAAAATAATTAATAAGATGATTCTAAATGATAGCTAATCAGTAGCTCAGCAAGATATCTATTTCCAGAACTTAACAATTTCACGTTCCAATGACACGTTTTATCCTTGTCACACATCCGCAGAGTTAATTGTGGACATCGCACATGTCCAGGGAGGACGAAAGTGTTAAGAGCCTGGTGCAGCACTGAAAGTTTGACATGTATATCAGTGTGTCTTGGAGAGATACTGAGGAAGTCCCTCCCAGAAATATGTGAACTTTTAACAGGCATCTAGTGTTGTGTAATACAGATAAAGAAAATATATTTAATGAATCTTTTAAACAATAAAACGTACAGGCCTTCACTAGTAGCCAAAAGAGGTTATTTCAGTATTAATGTTCCACAACATGCTAACACTTCAGTTTCCCCAAGAGTTTTTCACTATTAAGTTTACCAACCTGAGTTTGTTATCTGATTCTTCTGATATAGCCATAAGAGCAGCATCAATACTATCAGCATTGGCAGTCCAGGACAGGTCCAGTTCTACCAGTGAGTGTTGCCATTTGCGTACTACCAACTCTAACCGATCTGAGTAACTCTTGGGAGATGTAGAACCTGCTAAAAACAAATGCTCCAACTCCCATGGTGGAATGCGAACCAAAGATGAATCTGTAATATTCATACACCTGCAGAAAAAAATTTGTTGTTAAATACTGGTTCCTTGAACAACAATTCTAAGATGAACTCTTTCAAATGTAAATTTTGTGTTACTCTAACAAATATAAATATTATAATTTTAAATGTGTCTAGCTTCCAATGCCTTTAATGAATCATTATTACCATGATTTAATGATAGCCATATATAGCAAATCTTCTCCCCCCCCAACATTTATGCCCAATTCATATTACTGCTAATGACTTGGCACCAACAATTTCAATATTTGTTGAGTAATACAAATTTAAACATGGAGCATAGATAAAAGAAAAGCACTACAGCAAAATGTCGCAACGGAAAGTGTAAAAAGTAATAACATCCCTTCACTATGTCCAAATCCTCCTAATTTTAAGTAGTAGTTTTCCATAATCAGGGAGAGGATGTCTGTTAGGCTTACTGAGATTGCCTGTAAACCAACTACTGACCTTCTCCCAGGATGCAGCCCACAAGTTACCCAACTCCTAGGTACCTATTTGCCCAGAGATGAACAGCGGCATCAGGTTAGAGGAAATGTGCCCAAACATCTTTTAACGTCCATGTAAAATGAACCTGAGCCCTTTAGTTGTGAACTGACTGCGATGACTGCCGACATTGCAATAAGCAACAATAAACATTGTTCTCTCTTAATTTAATATAAACTGTTGCTATAAAATCTTTTCTTATCTTAATCTGCCAATGGTTACAGTGAATTACTTTAATTGCTAAATATTTGTTAGTATGATTGTTAATAGGTTGGTATTTGTCTAGGAATTGCCTATGTTCAAATACAGGCTGTATAACAAATTTTGTCACAAATTGAAAATGTTTTCATTTAATAAATTTTTTTTATTATTTTGTGTCATCTACCCTTAACAAATAATTTTTAAAACACCAAACTCACCCTCTGACATCAAGCAGACGAAGTTTGTGAGAATTCTTGAGAACTCGTTCTAATTCACTATCATTCATCCCAACACTTAAATTACCATCCACAGCTAAACTGAGCTCCTCTAATTCTGGGAACCCTGGAGATGATGCCTGTGTAACAAATCATATATGAATATTAGGTAGGATAAATTCAAATAACACAAAAATATAACTTATTCAGTAATTGTTTCAAGATCAATTCAATATTTCAACTTAATTTCCTAAGTGATAGATAAATTTCTGTGAAAGGTTGAATAGATTGCATATTTGCAGTGAAAGACACTGTTTATCCCTGCTGTTTCATACCCACACATCAAAGTTAAAAATAAAAATTACTATGTAACAGAGCCTTCAAACTGCAATCATTTCTATCTTATCTTTCTAGCTATTATACATATTCCCATTCTTAAATTTCAATTTTTCATCATTCATACTGGTTCCACTGTATTTTCTTCTATCTGCTTTAAAAATTATCTAAATTTTACTTTAAATTAGTTTATCATCATCTTTCAGACACTGAAAATCTCAAGAATCCTACACTTATCTCATATTTTGTTCAAAATCAAATGTCACTGGCATGCATCAGGTTTTATACAGTTGGGTTGTCTGCTAGATGGGACTCTAGTTCTTTTTCAGTTGGTGGAGTGGGTTTCACATTGACTGCTAGGAGTCCTAGTTGGTTGTGGGTTCAACTATGGTTAGGCCTGGTTTGAGCCACTTGGACAGCATCCCATCTCTTCTGCCACCAGCATTGCCTTGACTATCATCTCATCATATTTCCTGTCAGGTGGCTGCCGTGCACTGCTATCTGCATGTCCCTAAAGAGGTTTGGGTGGATGCTTTGTTCATTAATCTGATGTCCCTGGTTTCTTATCATAAGGCCAGGTTGTCTCAGCTGGTCCACAAGGTGATGCAGTTTAGCCAACATACTTTGTATCCACAGGCCCAAGACATCTGCAGATTTATGGCACTATCCACATTTTTTCCATTATGCAGTGGGCAGATATTTGGACTTGTGGTGTTTATTGTTCTAATCATATTTTTGCAGCTTGGTATCTGGTCAATGTTTTAGGCAATGCCAGGTGTGCTTAGTGTTGAGTTGGTTGACCCAGCACTGATTGCCATTGAGGTTAATGGTATCTCCCCCACCTCCCACACTAAGCCATACTTCTATTCCTTCTTCATGGGAAGTTAGTGTTATTACCCAGCCTAACAGGTTCAGACTGGATACGCTGAGGTCATACCTGTAATTGTTAATGTACCTCTTAGTACAATTTTACACTGCTGCAGTATTTAAATTTATGCATATATGTATTGAACTTTCATTATATACATGTGTATTGTGGTAGTATTGTATTCAATTATGTTATATTTCACTGTTGTTGAGTGAGTGGGTAATTGCTAGTTGCGCGAGTAGCAGCCGGACGCTGACAATGAACGTGTGTCTGAATGAGTGTGCGCGTTCATGTGTTCTCGTAAGAGCAGCCAAACTGTGCGATGGTTGTTGGCTCTTGGTTTTTTTGTATATGTATATATTTTATTATTTTGTGTAGTTAAACATCTGCATATGTTCCAGAGTTGTGCAATTTACTTGTGTATTTCATATTTTCTTTTCGTTACACCGAGTGTGTTATATTCCTTAGGTTGGTATTATTTAGTTGACCTGTGGAGATGGCGAGAGGAAAACTTCATTGGTCTTTGGGTTTCTGTAGGGGTCACACATAGTAGTAATAGTATATTAGGGATATCTGTATATGTCTATCGTCTTCTTACCAATAAGGTAAGAATTGGATTATTGTGTGGATCAGAGTTAACAAGTGTTATCACTAAATTCTCAAATTTTAACTCCTGTGGTGAAGTGACTTTTATTTGTTATCGCTCTTTGGGGGGGGGAGGGGGGGGACTGTCATATTTTGATGAAGTAGAGAGTTTCTCGACTTATATTTTGTCATCGTGGACTCCGATTTGTGTTAAGAATTTTCAACTTTGCCATTTGCCAGTCCAGTTGGGACTTAGGTTTTCTGAAGGCAAAGTGATACTTCACTGACTTGTGTTTATTGATGTTCATGCTCAGACATTACCTCCACTCTGATTATATAATGTCACCACCCACCATGTCCACAACTTGGCAGCCAGTCTTAAGCTGTCTGGTATACCCATGTTATTGAGTTATCTTTGCTTAGTGACATCTAGCTGCTGTGACTTGTGACTTGTGCCTTGTGTTAACATACGTGATTGTTACTGGGTTGTGGCTATGTAAAAATACTGTAAATAAGCTGTCATGTAGATACGTTTGCCCCAGTAAACTGGTAGATTTTACTTGGACTTTCACTCAATCCCAGACATTTTGAACTTACATATTTGAACCCAGGAGGTTCACCGATTTATGAGGGGAAAGTTCTACTCCACGAGCTTTGCTTGGGAGCATGATATAACAGTCGGCTTGAAGAAACTTTTCCCCGAAGCCTATGATGCCTTTGGGTCTTTTTCTCCATCAGGTTAGGGGGCAGCGTGGGCTTCTTTGGTGGGTTCCCTGTTCTTGCTTGTGGGGAAGAGATTTGAGTCTAAGACCTTACTGGAATTCTGTTGCCATCTCTCAACTTTGAGTAACCTTTGGGTTTGTACAGTGTGGCATCTTTCCCATGGGATCATACCTTTCCTTCTGTTTTGAAGGTATCTAGCAGAAATCTTGGTTCTGTCCCAGTGCCTTCCTCATGTTCAGTGGGAAGGCCTTGGGTGTTATGGAGAGACCACGTTGTGGGTGCGTTTCAATCATCTTTGTTCTCTGGTTCATGGCCCTGATGGTCCTTTGCTCTGCACAGGAGATTTTTCATATTCTCCATCAGAGTGAGTTTCATTCCCCTGGAACCTACCCTCAGGTGCTACCAGGTTCCGGTCGGTTCTACTGATTTGCCTCTGTTGCGCAGGTTTCAGTTGTCTAATTTTTTCCTAAATGTGGTGGAGAAAGACTTGCTTCAGTTCTTTCTATAATACAGTTGATGTTTCAGGTGCTTTAAATGGCTAGCATTTTGAGGCAATTGATGTCACCCTTTTTGTGTCAGCCCTGCCCCAAAATGTGGTCTGGAAGGTTCATTTGAGTCTGTCACTTCTTTTGGCTGCATGTCATAGTCAATAATTGGGTGCATCCTTGGAGGCTGGATGTCGTGACATCAGTGCTGCTATGCCTAAGTTGTTTTTCTTCTCCTGCTGGATGTGATGGTGTATTTATTTGATGCTTGCTAAGTGTGTAAGCTTGGTCTCTGTCCCCCTTTTTTTTGCCACACCCTTTTCTTCCCTCCTTTTCCTGAAGGTAAACGTTTTCTGAGTACTGTACTTTCAACAGCTGCCAATCCCTTTTGCAGTGTGGTTCGGTTCCTGCTGCAGCCCCATAGTTTTCAGAGGCTTGAGCTCGCGACTTCTGATTGAGGTAGAAGTTCTGTGTTGCCCCCTTGACCTCTACTGGATACAGACATTGCTTCTCCAACTGAGTAAAGTTTGAGGCATCTTGCAGATACACGAGTTACTAGCCAATAATCTCTTCCCACCCATCCGAATTCTCTGCAATTTTTGTCCAGGTATATACTTTGGATCTGGCTATGCTGCGGGTTGCCTACATCACAGCTAAAGAACTGTCTCATTTCTTCATATAGGGATTGCATGTTCGCTCACTCAGTGCTCACTCACTGTGTATGCACTGAGTGCTCCACTACATTGCACAGCTTACATGGGCTGCTCAGGGCATTTCTGCCTTTTCTGGCTTTCCCTTTTGCCTTCAGCTCCCATCCTATTGGTTGTAAGGCTGTTTTCAGCAGCTCTACATGAGTATTCCCTATTTATGGGCCTGGTAGGGAATTGGCAAGTCCCTGCTCTTGGATTCTTCAGTATACCTCAGTGTCTACTTCTTGCTTCGAGGTTCCCAACCTTTTCCGTTGAATTGCATATCAATGTCGGAATTCTGTAACCTGATGAAAAGGATCATGTACAGTAATTCCATGGACTCAGCAGCAGCAATCGACTTCATGGGCAGGGTCGCCATGGATGCTGACTTCCATTAGTGTGGCAATGGAGCCAACCTCGACCTGCCTATGAAATTTCCCCTAATACCCACCAGTCACCCTGCAAAGTTTAATGAGGCTAGCCCAAAGCATTTACCTCCAATCTTGTACAAACACACAATCAGACAGAACAGTTTTATATAATGATATGACAGAAACAGAGTTCAATCATATCAAAATGAAAAATGCCTTTAGTGGAGGACACTTATGGTAATAGAGGTGATAATTTAGATTCTTATGATGAGGTGGATATGGTGGATGTGACCATTTGGATGCGAGAGTTCTGCATTCTATTGCAAACCACACCTCAACAGTAAAACAAATATTAAAAGAGTGCAGATAATATTGCAAAAACTGTTTTATGCTCACTGACATTATTATAGAATAAATTAAGTACCTGTTCCTGTAAGGATGTCTGGCTAAGTCTAACAAGAGAGTTGGTAAGTCTCAAATTCTTCATCTTTGTGCATCCTGTCTGTAACCTTTCGATGTTGATTAACACACAATCACGGCCCACCGTCATCACATTTGATAAATCCAATGTTTGGAGATTGGGGCAATTATCCTGCATGAAATAAACGCATCATGAAAATACAATACAATAGAATATTATTTATATTATATATATATATATATTATTTAATATTTATTTATATTACATATACAGATATAGTATATTAGTAGGTCGTATGGGAGTACACATGTGTGTCTACATTGGCTGATACCTATCTATCTTACAGCACAGCTGAGGGAGGCAGGGCAGCCACCTTCAGGGAGACCCCAGAAAACCAACAAGTACAGGGACCTAGCACATTGTTACAGGTTTGTGCCGATAGGCTCTGAGACTCTGGGCGCCTGGAGTGAATGTCAAACTTAAGTTCTTAAAGGAGGTGGGTGAGGACCTCATTGGGAAAACTAAATACACAAGAGTGGCCAGTTTCCTGTTCCAGCACCTCAGTGTCGCAGTCCAGAGGGAAAATGTGTGCTGTATCTTAGGCATGCACCCAACCTCCGAAGAGCTAGACGAGGTCTTTGAACACTGTTATATATGTGTGTGTGTGTGTTCTCTGTAAACTGTAGCAATGCAATACAATAAAATAAAAAATAAATTAAAAAGAATAGGGGTGGTAGGAGAAGAAAAGATTAAAGTGTTCAGTGAGAACCCACAAGGTCTTCCCTGAATACCCTATTTTCTTCTTTGAGGCCGAGGGTCCCTACAATTGCACCAGAGGTGGTGCGTAAGTCCCCGTTCCGGGGAGGGTGGAGTTGCACAGACAGCGGCGTGGTAGCTGTGGTGACATCATGCTTGTTTTTTGATTGGGGAGTTCTGCTTGCTCTTTCAGCTTCTGGTTTGCAATGTTTAACCAGCTGTAGTTTGTTTTGAGATTCTTACCCATGTGCCTGACCTGGTAGATAGCAGACAAAGACTGCTTCCACGAGGATACCTATAAGCCATTGCTCCTTGTGCCTCTCTGAGGGACGCCAGATTCTGGCACATGGTCCCCAGTAGGCTTAGAACTCCATCGATTGACTGTTGCCACAGTCTAATATATATATATATATATACACAATATTAATATATACTAGGGGGGGTCTGGTAGCTGGTAGCTAAGCGGCAAATCATAATAACAGCCTGTAATTTTTGTACACTAAGCTTAGCGTACAAAATAATGAATGTTCGACCACCAAATCTAAATAAATGAACAAAGTGATAAAGAAACTGTACTCAGGGGAATTTAATAGCAGAAGGCGAGTCAAGAGAATGTAGTGAATAACTACTAGTAAGAGAATGTGGTAGACATATAAGTATTGTATGTGATGTGGCAGTGAACATAACAGAGTGGAAGCAGTTCGACAGTAACATGTATGACTAATACTGCACTATTTTACACACAAGTCTACAAAACTGCTCGTATACTGCTGTGAATATTTTGCTGCATTTCCAAAGCTGTTATATAGAATATAAGATATTGTGACAGGCTAATTATTATTTTGAATACATTAAACTATCTTCTTTAACAATACTTTTCTTTTCTAGGCCTTTGTATCCAATAAAAGTTGAAATTGGGACAATAAAGGCAATGATTTTCTTTTTCATCAAAATTGCAAATTTAAAGAATTTTCAAGTCTTTCTATTTTCTTATGGAACTCTTGTCATTAAATATAACAGATTCTAGATGTGACATAACACATACTTTATCAGAATAGTATCTCAGAAAATCATAAACTTCCCATCCTTAACCTGAATGACAGTATGGCAAACTTTTGCCACTGAAACAGTGCTCTCATAATAGATAACAAAAGGAAATCTTATGTTTATAAATACATGTTTCTAACTTGCTTCATACAAATAAAATACTCACTGATAATGACTTTATTAATGATGGCATGTTGGACAGAGTATTGTTTGCCAAGGTGAGATGAGTCAGTCTATCTTTCATTGTTGATGCTAAGTCTGACAATGTTTGTTGACCCACAGCACACCGAGGAGTTGGCTTATGAGACTGTCAGGAGAAAACAATAACAAATAAATACTTTTAATAGTTTTATGCATTAATTCAATTCCACTCTTCATTATCATTTCCTATAATTGTCATCTCACATAAACCAAGCACACTAAACTTTCCTTCTTTGAAAACTTTTGCTACTTCAAATTTCTGTTCTAGATTCATTCCTCCTACATTCCACAGCACCACATGAACCTGGTTTGCTTTTGAGGGCATGGGCAGACATGGGCAGGCATGGGCTCCAAATCAAAAGCTATTTATACAGTACCTTTATTGGGGAGATGGGTGCTTAGCCCTATCCATCTAGTTTTGTAAAGCAGGAGCACAATATTAATTGCACCACATGTGAGCGTTACTTACCAATGTTATTTATGATGGCAAATGTTTGGCCATTCAAAGGTTTACTACATGTATTTTCTACATTCTTAAAAACACTCAAAGGAAAATTATTTACTTATTACATGGAAAACCTCACATAGCACTATCTTTTCAATTTTCTTAAGACCCTATATTTATTTGCTGGGATTTTGTAATAAGAGTTTAAATGCATTATACAGTCTTTTCTTTTTAAAATTACATCTGCCATCCAGATCTGCATCAACATAATGCAGATCAAGAAGCCAGATTAAAGAAAAATTCAAGGTCCACAACCAGAAGCAAGGGTTTATTGTTTTACTCTCCTAGACATAATCCCTGTTATGACTATTGAAGGCATTTTAAGCTCATTTTGGTCACAACTTTTAAAATCTAATACAGTATGCATTTATTGGCAGGTTTCAGAACAGAAGCATCGATCCCATGCACTTGGTGGCAATGGCTAAAATGCCATTAAAAACTTGTGTAACTTTAAACCAAGACAAAGAGTGAAACTAAGTCTAAAATAAAGAGACAATTGCAGTAAATAATTAATATATTTATAACATACCCATAGATGAAAGATTCCATTTGAACTGAACAAATTAAGAATTTGTCCAATTCCAGATAAGTAAGACGTGGCAGATCAGTCGCTATTGAGAAATATAAGTAATTGTGCTTATATATTAACAACAAAATTAGGAAAGGAATGACATTGTTAATCATTCTCATTCATAAATACTAACCGCCATAACATTAGTAAGGTCAAGGCGCTGAAGTTTGTCACAGGTGGCAAGGTGGGTGTGAAGGTTTTCTGAATGGATTTTATGGCAGTAAGAAAGGTTGAGGCCAGTGAGTTTGGGACACAACTGCACTAGCCTTGGCAAGAGATGCGGTGTCACAGCCTCATTCCACCCAGCTGAAAAAGATCCCAGTCAAAAGTGAGTATGGTCTATAATGCTGTACTACACATCATAGTTAATGAAAAATTTGTTGGGTCGAAAGTTAAACTGATTAAAAACAAAAAATTAAATCCTTTTTTGAAACTAGAATAATTTTTATTGAAACTGATATAATACAGTACTGTATATATGTTTAGATTACACAGCAAAATTTTTAAAAAGAGTTTAATATGTTTTGATTGCAGCTGTTCCAATTGTTATGTGCGATATTTTCCCCATTTCAGTGCTCAAGTATTTTTAGTCATGCACACTTCGCTGTAGTACTTTTAAATACCTACAGTGTTTAGGGGTTTAAAGTATGGTCGGAGACAAGAGAAAATATGAGTGTTGCAGTTGGGAAAGTTATGTAATCTAAATGAGGGGGTTCATGGGTGGGGTGTGAGAATTTAGGCAGTTGGAGTTACAGTCCGAATGTGGGAAGGAACCGTATATTGGTGTTTTGGGCAAATGGTTGATAGTTGGGTGTAGGTGGAGAAGGCACATGGTATTGTTGGGTGTGGGTGGTGTGTAGTATGGTGAGTGGGTGTGGGTATATGGCTGGTGATGATGTAATACTCGTATACCTGTACTTGCCTACATGTACTCAACTAGATGTGTTTGCCTGCATGTACTCACCAACATGTACTTGCATTATGTACCTTGTGTACTCATCTAGATACACTCTTTTAAATGCTGTCTATCCTCATATGGCATAATGTGGTAACCCTAATGTTTTAAAGGCTGGCTTGTTTCCAGACTTAATTTAATACCTCCCAAATAATATTTGGCATGACTGATGTAATTAAGAAATTAAAGCTTTTATTCTTTCATTAAACCAATATCAGACCTGTGTTAATTTTTGTGCAAGATGGAATGTGCATCAACATTTTATTGGTTGTTTAGTATTTAACTCCTTTTCATATTATAATAACAGGCGTATAGTGTAACTTTTATTTGAATTATTCTGACTGTTTTGCTTTGTCAATGTTAATTTGTATGTTTCATTTGCTAGTGTTTGCAACCACCCTGAGAGGAAACCTCAAGCTAGTAACATGTGGAGGTACAAGTGAGGTGTCCCTCACTGTTGAGGTGTTTGCCTCAGCTTTATCATTGTCATTTGAGAATGATACGATTATCTGGCAAGTGATATAATATGCTGTTATTTATGTTCCATTTCAAGTATTTTTAAAATAAATGAAATGCATGCACCTTGCCAATTTGTTTCAAGTCCCACAATTCAAGATACCTGTAATGACATTATTCACTTGGCATTTCCTCTCTTATGTGAAGAACATCTTTACATATAACATCTATTCAAATTTCATAATCTGAAATAATGAACATGAAAAATAAGGAGTAAAATCACATCAAATACACCCTACCCCCCTCCCCCCTGACAATGTGTGGAGATATGGTTGCCATTGTCAGGGAGAGGAAGCCTGTCAGGCTCATTAAGGTCCTCCTAGACCAATGACTGACCTTCCCCATGATGCAGCCCACAAGTTACCTTACTTCCAAGTACCTATTTACTACTAGGTGAACAGAGCCATCAAATCTAAGGAAATGGGCCCAAACATGTTGTCCTTTGCAGGAATCAAACTCAAGACATCAGTCTTTGCACCATTAATTTCATGAAGCTTAATCCTATTAGTATAAAAGTCACCATAAAGATGATATGTATAACAGTGATGTAACTGCACCACAGACACTTAGCTAAAATCCAGTTCAACTCCCATGAAATCCAGTTAGGAAGAATGTGAGGTAGCTTGGGTCAGAAAATCCTGCTGTGCATCTGGTGCTGTTATCTGGTAGGTGGCCAATCCAATTGGTGATAAGCAAGAGTGCTCTTATTGGCAGTTGATGACTTCAAGAGTTGCTCTACTCCAGCAGCCTGGCCTGAGGCCAGGTTTCCTTAGTGATTACATGTCTTTTGAAGCTGTTTGTCTTTGTAACCTGCAGGCCCACTTATTTTAATAACCAGACTGATCCAGTAATTTTGGCAAAAACTTGTTGAATTACCTATTCACAGGCCAAAAGGTTTTACAAAAGAACCGTATGTTGACCATTCCAAGCTGAAATGAACATTCTCCAAAGACTAGCTAGCAACAGTATAATTCAATTCAAGTGATGCCCAAAAGATTAAGCACAAGTGCAGAACGTCCATGTGCCTGACTGTTCATGGTACTGCTTGATGGACTCAAAGACCCCAGTATAAGAAGCAATGTGTGAGATAGCTCAGAAAAGGCCTAAAATGCAAGAAATTGGGCTAGTAAAAAAAAAAAAGAACTTTCAATTTCAATTGACAATATCTAACCTTATCAAGAATATGATAGCCTATATGCACATGAAAAGTGTGCATAACAAGGTTAGAACATTCAACCAGTTTGTTGTCTTGACAATATACATATAGAGACTCTCCCAAGAAAAAATTAAATTCCCAAACCGACCACCAAGAGATCATTGTCCAAATTTGATACGAGTAAATATAATGAAATGCCGTATTCTGGTGAAATTTCAGAACCTCCCCAAAACCTTCATGCTAATGTAGACAAGACTTAAAAATCGCACCAGGCCTGAGACCCACCTTGGCCAATTCGGAGCCAGAACCAGAATCTGGCTCTCTCTGGTAGATGAGCAGGGTTTAGGGATCAGAGACCTACTCAAAGTCTAGAAAAACCTACCAGAAAGTTAAGGCAGAACAAAACAAGCTACTGCTTGAAAGAAAGAAATGCCACTGGTGAAGGGAGGGGTACGCTACTGCCACAGATGCCAACATACAGAGTCCATAATGCAGTACAGCTCAGCGAGATTGCAGCTCAAACCTAAGGGGACAGCTCCTTTTACTCTGAGCCACACAGAGGAGCTAAGTTCATGCATTATACAAGAAGAAGCCCTCAAAGAGGACGAGACTCCAGAGAAGCCCATCCCCCCTCAGGGAAGGAAATACTGGTGCAAGGCAAGGGCAATGAAAACAGCAACCAGGAAAGAGAACCATGATCTCATGCAGCTGTAGCAAACTCCAATTTAGAGCATACACAATGAATGGCACCACTCACACATGCTAAGTACATATAACAAGGCACACAACTAAAGGCCCCTAGAACTTTGCATCCACTTGTATGTTCCAGAGATAATTTTAAACAAGTACTTATCACCCTTTAAAGTGCCTTTTAATATCAAACACATAGTAGAGGGAGGAGACCTCTGACTTCCTTATTAAGTAGGGAAGGGAACTATCAGAAGACCGTGCCAAGTCATTACAATTACATAGTGGATCAGGATAAGGATTTGCGATGGGACACGGTACCTCGCTGGTTCCACTTTGTCCTCCACAACATGCGTCTGGTATTTCCGACGCTTGTGTATTGCCATTTGTATGGTGATTAGGTGGCCTCTTTGATGGTGCCCCACCTGCAGTCTTCTTCTCAGCGACAGTACAAGGTTTCTTGGCAGGCTTTCCGTCCTTTTCTTTCTCTTCGACGGGTTTCATCAGTGTTGAACAGGTTGTTTTGTCCTTTCCCTCTTGGGTTTTTCTGATTTGGCATCTCATGCCGAATACTGTTACTACTTATCATGCGGCGTTGGTGGAGCCGCTGTAGCTTGCATTCGGGATAGATGTCACTTCTGCCCCCATTCCGCAAGTGAGGTAGGCTGGCTTACTAGGACTCAGGGTAACCTGCTCCACTATCTGGTGATGGTCAGGCACATCAAGATTAGCACTGCTTGCCGGCAGCAATGAATACTTGCTTCATTTGCCACAGGTAGTTTCTTTCTTTTAAGCAATAGATAACCCTTGTTGGAGGCTCTTTCTTAGATTTGGGTAGATCTCTGATCCTCAACCTCCCCTTGCTTCAATAGAGAGCTAAATTCAGTTCCTAGTGCCCAATAGTCCAGGCAGGGTCTCAGAGGCCTGATGTAATTCTTAAAAGTTTGACTATAACAGCACATGAGCTCCATGGAGCTACTGAGGAGACCCTCAAAGAAAAATACATATACATGGCAAATCTATAAGAAATTCCCACGTACAAGTGATACTTAATATACTGCAATAATACAGTAATTTAAAAATTAATTATTCTCACTATTCACTGACTGAAGTATTTGATATATACTAAACATAACAAACAATGAACAGATTAAACAAGCAACTTACCTAGAGTAAGATCATGCACAGCACTGAGCCTATGTTCTAAAAGCCAAAGGAGCTTCTTTTCATTGCGATACCGAGGTTTTATACGTCCAGTAGCTAGGTCAGCAGTGTGCCACAATTGTGAGTCTGTAGAAACTTGTCGCCACAATCTGCACACTCTAGATGTTCTGCAGTAATAAGATTGATTATATTAATGTTTAAGAAAACATGCTAAATATAAAATGCTCTGCAGAATGTACATTATTTCATATCTTTGGATTTACAGTACTATAATTGAAATCTATGGAAACAGACATAGAGTCAGGGTATGACAGAAGACAAAGCTAAAAGGCAGATGTGCTTAAGAGTTGCGCACACAGCGTAGTGTTCAAGGGGTCCTACACAAGCCACTCTGATTCAAGGGAGAAAAAATCATACATAATACATATGGGTACAGTATAACAATTAAAGAAATCTTAGTTATTCAATTTTATGCCCTTCTGAACATAGTGATACAAAAAGCCAGCATTGGATGGCATGAAATGCCATTTTCTGGGCGAGCCCCGGAGGCACCCTGGAGCTATCCAAGTGATATTAACTAGATTAGTCTGGAGCCTCAGTCATATGGTAACCATATATGCCCCTTGCCACTGCAACAATTCCTGGGACCCAAGTTCCTAAAACACCCTGTCTCCTTCCTGATGATGGGGACAAAACAAACACAGAACTGAAACAGCCTGCGAGCAAAATGTGGGAGGAACCAAACACAGTGGGGAAATTGAAAAACCCAATGGACTGAAAGAGCCAAACACCAGGGATGTCAAAAACCCTGAGTCCAGGGAGCTGAAAAGTGAAACACAGAAACCAGCTCCCAGAAAGAAACAAATAGAACCCAAACAGCCAATTCTCATGATTCAATATTGTAAAATATGATTTTTGCTTAAGCAGAATCATGTTATTCTTATTATTTAGAAAGGATGTGAAGCCTCTCTCATTTTTGCCCCCTTACCAATTTTGAAGGCTACCAGCATCTTGGGCCAAGCGCATATTTCCTAAGCGATATTTTCCATCCAATGCACACTACAATGTTACTATACAAGGTAAAGTGTTCAATTTGGTATAGTTTTTAACCTAAAGAGTTGTATTTTATGATGGCATTTTCAAAGTGCAATAAAAGCAAAATAAATAACACAAAAATTAATTAAAGTTTAACACAACGTTCAAAATGGTGACTACTGTACATCGGAATGTTCTGGTGTTTTGAGCAAATGACAACTGTAGGCATCACAAAAACGTTAAAGGTTAAGTGACAATTTCTTTTCTCTCAATGTGTGTGTTTATACGTGCAGGAACTGTAAGGTGCTAAGGAAAGCAAATGATCAACCAAAAAATGCAAAGGGAACATAACACAGTAACCACAGGCTACAACCAACTTACAAACTAAAGAAATATTCAGGCATGTGGAAAGGTTTCATAAAAAGCCAAGACAGAGATGCTGCCTGGGCTGACAACCCCTCAACCAGACAGGGTGACAAGAGTATAAAAAAAAAAAATCCCCAGAAAGAGAAAAAAAAGAGTCACGCACTCTCCTCAAGCAAGCCTAAAACCCCAGGACACTCTTCTGCCACAAGAGCAGAGCATCCCCCAAAGCCCAGGGACCAAAAACATCCAGAATTGAATACTGTATAATGAAACACCTCTTTTCAATGGGCCCCCATCTTATAACAATTATAAGATGGGGCCCATCTTTCTCCCTATAATAGAAGGAGCTGCTTCAGTTGCAAATAAAAATGAGTCTAGATTATTCATCATGGTATGATAGATTTGGAAAGTATAGAACCTTATAGATGCGCAGATACATGGAAAGCAAAACTACTGGAAGCAGCAATGAGAAACTTTTCTAAGCCAGCATATCAAGAGCCTACACAGATGAGGGATAGTGACAAATCAGCCACAATTTACTTCATATTCACTCTAAATGATGTGGATGAAGTATACCAATAAAACATGGACAAGCAAATGGTGCACTCATGAATGACATATTAACCACCCACAAAACAGGAGGCTTGGAGAAGCAAACTAGGTATGAAATACCTAGGTCAAGAAGTATAGTTTATAAATTTAACAAAGAGCTAAGTACAGTAAATACAAAAAAGAACAAAAAATAATCTGAGCATACATAAATGCAAGATAACAAGAGTATCTAAATACCAAATTAAAAATGCATTAAACAGCACTTACCTCAAAAGAAATGGAATTGCTCCCACACTGTGAGTGGCCATATCTAAGATTTCTAATAAGATGTTCGGTGGTATTTTCCAAGCCCACGGTGACTGTGGTTCACCATTCACTTCACTTAATACTGGGCCCCATTCAATAAATTCTGTTGCTTTTCTTCGTTTTCTTCCCTCTCCTGATTTTAAATTTTCACTGTCACTGCCCTGGGAACTTTTTCTTTTTCCAGACCCTTTTTCACTTGGACTAGAATTAACACTTGGAGTTCGATTTGCCATAGGTACATCAGCAACAGCACGCGAACTGTTGTCTTTAATTGGAGGGAGGGTCATTTTAATTTTCATTCTTATACCAGTCACTTCTGAGTCTTGAGATATTTCACTTTGGTAGTGCATTTTCCCAGACTGTTTACGTTTACGAGGTTTACGCTGGGCATTTGGATCCTTGCTTCTTTTGGACTTCACTTTTATTTCACCACTGTACCTATCCTTAACACTTCCATCAAGCACTGAATCACTTTCATTTCCAGGCTGTTGATCATTTGCATGTCTTCTATGGTCCTCACAAAGAATACAAGAACAATCATCACGACGTTCACTTTCTCTGCTTCCACTGGGATGTGTATGTGTGTTGCCTGCATTGACACTAATGTCCATTTTCTCATCGTACATATCATCTTTCATACCATCTATATATACTGTTGGACTACGTGGGGGTTGCTGGTCTGGTGTGATAGGTTGATCAGATGGAACGGACTGATCAGGGGTGATTGGCTGATCAGGAGTTATGGGCTGGTCGGGTGTCATTGGGGTGACTGGCTGGTGGTCTGATGATGGAGTGATAGGTTTCATCCCAACATCATCTTGAGTATTATACTGATATGGAGTTGATCCCGCCGATGGAATGGATGACGGTGTAGACCCAGCAGATGGGATGGAAGATGGCGTTGATCCTGCAGAAGCTGTAGTTAATACACTTGGAGGTGAGCTCATATTATCATCAGGTCCTGACATGGGACTAAAGCCTTTAGGGTCCATGTCCATTGCTGCCATTCTAGAATCTAATCCAAGGCTCTCTGTAGGCATTTTAATTTGTGTTTCTAGAGATTATTAAAAAAAAAAAAATTGGCAAATGCCAATAATCTTTCTCAAACAAATTTTTCACAAAGCCCAACTAACTTGGCTCAAACAGAATTAAGCAATGAATTATCAGCAAGCTCAGGAGTCACCAGTATCTCCTCATAGCCCTAAGGAGCAAAACTAAGTACTTGAAACCCAAGGTACAAGACCCTAACAATAATGATCTACACCAGACCATATCGTCTATGTTCTGGGAGTAACAGTGGTAGTAGGTGAGGCATTGAGAAGTCAGATGACACTAGCAGAGTAAGCTTCCATAGAGATGTTGAACCTTCTCTGTCACTTAATGTTGCTGCAGTGATGAAGCATCCTCAACAAAATATTCTGAAAAATATAAAATGTAACAATTACAGTATAGAGGTAAATCAAATTAAATATCATTTAATGCTATGTACTGTACATTGAATAAATTACTCAATCTTATACAGTACAGTATATGATATTTTCACTCTACAGTGGAACCTCGACTTACGAATGCCCCTACGTACTTACGAATCTTTCGAGTTACAACCCCAATTTCGTCGGAAAATTTAACTTGACTTACAAACATTGCCTCGACTTGCGACTTTGTTGATACATGTATGGGTCGATGGAGCATGTGGTTTGTGGTGGCATGGGACACCCAGCTTTAGTTTACCAGATCGACTGCTTAGTGACGATCGTGCTTTAATTCTTTGTAAAGAATTTCATTGTTTTTCAGCTTTTTAGCTTTCTAAACATAAAAGGAATTATTATATACCACACCATGGGTTCCTCAACAATTAAGAAGTGGTGTGCAGTATGGGAAGAAATGTAAAATTTTGTTGAAACGACTCGCCCAAATCAAACTGCAGTAGGCCGTTGCCTTAACCTTTTCAATGACACTGTGATGCCTCACTACAGACAAATGTTAAAATGTAGGGAAAAACAAGTCTCTATGGAAAGGTTCCTAGTAAGAAAAACAAGCAGTGAGCCACAACCAGGTTGTGGCTCACGAGATGCACAAAAATCATCAACATGAGGGAAGAACTGAAGCTTCCAATCATACTAGAAAGAATCATGCAAGTCAACACGACCTTTTGCCTTAAAGCCATGAGAGACCCTACATCTCCTGCATTATTCAGAGACAAATTATTTAATGCTGTTAACACCCTACTGACTGGTGTCGACGTACCAACACACTCCTTTTATGATAAATGGTTGAGTAAAAATTCCTACATTCTCATTAAACTCAACATTCCTTTTAAATACAATCTACCTGTCTCTGATATTCCTCTTTATCTGTACCCACCATTCAAGTATCATACACACCTGTCACCAAGAAAGGTAATGAAAATCTTGCTCTTCTCAAAGCTGTCACACTCGAAACAATTGCCTCCTCCATCAGGAATTTAAGATCTCACGAGTACTGTGTCTACACCGACGGCTCAGTCCAATCTTCTACTGGATGAAATGCGGCAGTATGTAGGTTTTATAGAAATAATATTTGCACAAAGACTGTCAGTGTCAGGTTAAACAACTGGCTGAACTCCACACAAGCAGAACTAGCGGCATTACAACTAGCTACCAGTACATTAAAAAACACTGGAGGAGGAATAATATTTTGTGATTCAAAGTCTGCTCTTCAAGCAATCGAAAACTTCTCCTGGAAGACCGGAAGAAGATTGTACTGTACATGTATTTATTTATATATACAAGAGTTCTTACATTCTTGTGCAGCCACTAGCACACAGCATTACATTGTGATGGGGCTAAAACAAAAATAAATAAATAAAATATATTTCATATTAAATGTACAGTATTCCGAAGTAAGGAATCTGTAAGCAAAAAAAATATATAAAACTAAATACTGTACCTGTACCTGTACTGGTCTCGGTATACGCTATGATCATCAAGTGATGACAAGAGACCAGGAGCTGAAGTCCATCCAACTTACAAATTATTTATTACAAACTTACAAATTAATTATGTAAGTCTCAACAAGCTAATTAACTCCTAGGTACCCGTTTACTGCTAGGTAGGTAAACAAAGGCATCAAGTGATAGGAAATTATCACAATCATTTCTGTCCAATCCAGGACTCAAACCCAAAATTCCCAATTGAGAGTCAAGAACAAACCCAACTGTACTACCAGGACCCTATACACTTAGTGCAGCTCTCAGGCATCAACAAGAGTGGTTAAATACACTGGCTTTGGTTTCAGCAGATTTCTCACCAGAGGGCTTATGTTATTGATAAATCACAGCCCTTACTCAAGAATAACAGAATAAATAGCTAAATACTATAATGAACTCTTATCAAGACTAATAATTGTGGACACATTGGAATACAGGGGTCATAGAATGTTCCATTATTTAGATATATAACCCCATGGAATGCTGTAATATTTGAATACAAGCCCATGGAGTGCTGTAGTATTTGGGTACAAGCCCACGAGTGCTGTGATAATTGGATACAAGCTCATTGGGTACTGTACAATTTTAAAACAAGCCCATGGATTTCTATAGTAATTAGATATAACCTCATGAAGTGCTGTAATAACTGGATACAATGCCATGGAGTGCTGTAATAATTGGTTACAAGCCCATAGAATGCTATGCTATTTGGAATACAGTAGAAATAAAAAAAAAAATTAGTGTACTACTTTTACAATTTGGATTACAGTATCTAGTATCCAAATAATCCAGTACCCAACATACATTTATGGTTTCTTATTGTTGGTATTAGTCTTATCATGGTCTCCCAAGGCCAGTGACATATTTCCCAGGATGCAACCCTCAACAGTTGCCCAATGCCAGGGGTGTTTATTTGCTACTAGGGAAACAAAGGCATCAGGTACAGTATAAGGAAACATGGCCAAACATCTGGTCCTGAACAGGAATTAAACCCAGCACCATTATGTTATTAGCCAATGACCTTGACCTCTGCACAACAGGGGCTAAAGATTCATTATTCAGCCAATTCCTTAATGTCTCCTTGGATAACATTGCAATATCTTTAATATTTGTTTATATTTTAATTTATATAAATGCAAGAGTTCTTACATTCTTTTACACGCATAGCATTTCAGGCAGGTTTTTAATCTTAATTTTCCTTGGAATACAACCCACCAACTCAGCTGTCAGGGGCCTCACAGCTGAGTGGACAGCGCTTCGGATTCATAGTCCTGAGGTTCAGGGTTCGATCTCCGGTGAAGGCGGAAACAAATAGGCAGAGTTTCTTTCACACTGATGCCCCTGTTACCTAGCAGTAAATAGGTACCTGGGAGTTAGACAGCTGCTATGGGCTGCTTTCTGGGGGTGTGTAACAAAAAGAAGGCCTGGCTGAGGACCGGGCCACGGGGATGTTAAGCCCCAAAACCACCTCAAGATAACCTCAAAATAACTATCTCGTCTAACAACTAGGTACCCATTCACTGCTGGGTGAAGAGGCATACAGTTAAGGATTGGCACCTAGTCAATCCTCACAGACCAGGATACGAACCCAGGCTAATTGCTCGCGAAGTGCAGGGCAAGTGTGTTATCATTGCACCACAAGGACTGCCACAGTCTAATATGGTCTAGTTTTTCATTATGCACGTAACACCTACGTAACTCATACAGATTCAGTGTTTGGTAACTAGACCATTTCCAGATGCATATGCATGGGCAAAGTTTGCCCAACTGTCAATTGACAAATGTTACTGCTTACATAATGTAACTGAAAATTTGGCAAAGGATTTTACGAGTAACAGATCCATCAAATGAGTTACATATTCAAATTGTAGACAGATATTTTGAGAAAGCTCACATTCTAATTGTTAAAACCATATAAATCATTAGGTAAGGCTGTGTGAGTTTTGGTTGGGTAGGTAATTATAAAGAGAAAGCACAAAGACAGTATTTCTATTAGTATGTTGGCTTCATCCTCGACTCACAATCTGGGTTCTCGAGTTTGATTCCCAGGCGGGACAGAAATAGTTGGGCACATTTCCTTTCGCCTATTACCTCTGTTCCCCTACTAACAGTATATAGATACTTGGGAGTCGGAAAACTGTTGTGGGAATGCATCCTAGGGAAGGGTCGGTAGCTCAATCTTGTAGGGTCCTCAATACAAGCCTAAAGTATAAAAACAGGCTTCCCGTACCAGACAAAAAGGAATAAACTTGGAATGGAAATGAGGACTGGATAGAAGTTGAGATAAGAAGACAGAGTGACGTAATAGTGCCCCGTCACTTGCATCATTGGGAATTACATGCCAACCCTATGAGTGGGGAGGTTTGGTAGGTTATAAAAAAAAATCATTTTAAAGCTTGGGTATGACATGACTCATATCCTTATGAAATAGCAGTGTGCATCCACCCAAACACTGACACTCATGCCTGCTACTGACACCACTATGATAGCGTGTCCTCGACACCAGACACATGCCAACACAGCTCTCATAATCAGCACTAAGCTACCCTGACACTTTGACACGGCACCACACGAGAAATAGTCTAACCTGGAAAAGCTTGGTTCCTCCCCCCTACCTCGACAGGTTAACACTTCACTCCTAACTCCTCATGCTGCACTATCACCGCCACAAACAACCAACGAACACGCTACCTGTGCTAAATCGCTAATTACATCAGTACTGAACACGACTGTCAGTAAAATTGGGTAGTTTAGAAACGTCAGTTTGGTGTCTTGGCAGGCTCGCTAGCCAAGCTCTCAACGCGACGTTTGCTCCGACCTGGGTGAGAGTTTCTGAGAAAGTCGTCGTTTTCTCACTATCTCAAGCGACTAACATCACAAACAGGTAATGCTGCCACTCTCCAGACACTGACTCACCTCACTTGGAAGATTCATGAGAGAACTCCTCCTGGCTCTTGCGAAAATAGGGAAATATTGAAGAGTCAGCCACGGTGAGCGTTCTACTATAACAATCTGCCCTCAGGGTTTGTTTATTGTTTATGGTCGCACGAACGAACAAACTTGTCTCTTTTAATTTGTGTTTTTGTCCATTTTACTCCTTTTTCAACTATAAAATGCACTCAAAGCTATACATAAAATTAATACAAACCAGATAGGAGGTATAATATCACCGAAACCTAGTAACTGAAAACTGTAATCGGTAAAATAGCCTTCCCGAGAAGTCCGACATTTTGTTGGCCCATCTGTTTTAGGCAGGAGGGTTCCGTTATATTGATTCTTACATTTACGTTTGTCATTGTTCAGGTGACATTTTATTATATACAAGAACAAAAACATTATTTAAACATATTTTGATCAGTTAATACTACCATTTCTATTTTAGTTACATATGAGAGATATGACAACGCTGGAAACAGACGGAGCTCTCTTGGTTGTGTAGTGGTGGGACGTCGTCTGCATATTAGGAACTTTTCATTTAATTTGCAGTACACAAAGCCAGCATGAAATTTCACCTCAGGTTTCTTAGAAAAACTGCTTGTATGTTCTCACAAAAGATGACTCGGGTAAAACACCTTAGATTAACGAAGAATAAATGTGAGGAAGTATTCGAAAAGTGCGCGATGTGCAACAGGGATCGACCGCCCGACTTCGGGTCTAGACCATCGCGCGCACCACAGATACCAATCAATTTTAACACTTTTATTTTCACAATATTTTTAACAGATCATAACATTGCATTTTAATATTAAACTGAATGCGTGCAAACTGTGTGTAACTATTCGCTGCTGATACCGTCATTTTAGCACCTATAACTGAGTCATAAAACGTAAATTCCATAAGATCAACCAATATGGCAAACTGATAGGCCTATCTATCTTATATATATATTATATTATATTATATATATATATATATATATATATATATATATATATATATATATATATATATATATATATATATATATATACATATATATAAATATAATATATAATATAAATATATATATATATATATATATATATATATATATATATATATATATATATGTCGTACCTAATAGCCAGAACGCACTTCTCAGCCTACTATACAAGGCCCGATTTGCCTAATAAGCCAAGTTTTCATGAATTAATTGTTTTTCGACTACCTAACCTACCTAACCTAACCTAACCTAACTTTTTCTGCTACCTAACCTATAAAGATAGGTTAGGTTAGGTTAGGTAGGGTTGGTTAGGTTCGGTCATATATCTACGTTAATTTTATCTTCAATAAAAAAAAATTGACCTCATATATAATGAAATGGGTAGCTTTATCATTTCATAAGAAAAAAATTAGAGAAACTATATTAATTCAGGAAAACTTGGCTTATTAGGCAAAACGGGCATTGAATAGTAGGCTGAGAAGTGCGTTCTGGCTACTAGGTACGACATATATATATATATATATATATATATATATATATATGTCGTACCTAGTAGCCAGAACTCACTTCTCAGCCTACTATGCAAGGCCCGATTTGCCTAATAAGCCAAGTTTTCATGAATTAATGTTTTTTCGTCGACCTAACCTACCTAACCTAACCTAACCTAGCTTTTTTGGCTACCTAACCAAACCTTACCTATATATATAGGTTAGGTTAGGTTAGGTAGGGTTGGTTAGGTTCGGTCATATATCTACGTTAATTTTAACTCCAATAAAAAAAAATTGACCTCATACATAGTGAAAAGGGTAGCTTTATCATTTCATAAGAAAAAAATTATAGTAAATATATTAATTCAGGAAAACTTGGCTTATTAGGCAAATCGGGCCTTGAATAGTAGGCTGAGAAGTGAGTTCTGGCTACTAGGTACGACATATATATATATATATATATATATATATATATATATATATATATATATATATATATATATATATATATATATATATATATATATATGTATATATTATATATAATATATATATTATATATAAATATATATATATGTTTTATATATAAATAAATATAATATATAATATAAATATATTTATATATATAAATATAAATATAAGTTGTGAGGGTACCACTTCTAGTGCAAATGTGGGGACCCATAGCCTAGGAGAAGAAAATAAGGGGTATTCAGAGAAGACCTTGTGGATTCTCAGTGAACACCTTAATATTTTCTTCTCCTATTACCCCCCATACTTTTGTATATATACACATATGTTTGTTTCATTTAAACTGTGTTACAAAAAAGGAGTTACATATGGGGTACAAAGATGATTATCATAAGTTGTGAGTTCCTCCAGCTCATCAGATGGCGGGCAGGATCCCTGAATGCAGCGTGCATTTCCCCTCTGTATCGCCACGCTGAGGCGCTGGAAAAGGAAGCAGGTAGCTCTAGGGTCTCTTGTTGTTTCAATTAGTTTAGAACCCAGTTCCTTCAAACAACTGGTGGCACTCTTACCCCAGGCGCCGAGTGTCTCAGAAGCAATAGGGACATAATGTATATATATTATATATATATATATATATATATATATATATATATATATATATATATATATATATATATATATATATATATATATATATATTACATATTTTATATATATTATATATATATATATATAATATATAATAAATATTATATATTATATATATATATATATATATATATATATATATATATATATATATATATATATATATATATATATATATACATATATATATGAAACCAAACCACGGTTTGGTTTTGAAACCAGTGTCAAACCAGGAGGAAAATTGAAACAGGAATTTCCTTAAGTACTTTCGTATATTAATACATCTTCAGAAGGAGTGATTTTACAGGTCAAGTATTGGACATAAATAGACAGGAGAGAATGGTGGAGTGAGGTGAGGTACAATAACAAATGAAAAATTCAACCTTGGACCTACGAGGTGGGGGGGGCCACCATGCACTCTATGTAGTATAAGCTGGCTACCTGTCCTCCCGACACAATGATTTATCTCACTCAACTTTGCAGGGTGAGGTATGGCACGAAAAAAAGTTGATCAGAGTAAGTCCTACTGAGCGGGAGTCGGTTCAAGTTCAAGTATGTTTATTGAGATAATCAAGAAATACATCTCAAAGGGATAGAGTAGCTTAGGCTATTTCTACCCCCCTACCGGGGGTCGGTCATGAAAGCGGGCTCCCCCCTCCCGCAGCCCCCCCCCCCACCCCCACAGTCAGTAAAGGTGGTTGGCAAAGTCCCAAGATTTCCTGGACGGGAACGCTACAGCGTTGGCCGAATCTAACGAAATCGAGGACCCACGAATAGAAAACGAGATATCACCTCAATTTTGCAAACCACTATGATTTTCAGTATATCAGTTTTTGGCCTTAGCGCATTCATACGTCAAAATGCGATGTACTACTCAAGAGGACGAACTGAACGATGAATGTGAATTCATTCACATTCATATATGTTACCCTCAGGTAACATATATGAGGAAGACATTAAAAGCACCAATTACACTGTGGCTCTCATGTCAGTATTTCGCTCACTCTTCCCACACACTCACAGGTTTACCACCTGCATCTTGTCCCTCAGTCAGCTCTCCCACCACACTTTAAGGCTCATGTCCCAGTCCTTTTGTTCTCCTGTCTACACATTTCTCGCAGTCTTCCCACAACACTGTATTTGACTCCTCTTCAGCACCCTCTTCTTCCTCACTCTGTCTCATCACATACTGTAGGAACCTCTTCCGTGTACATTTTTTTTTACTCGACTCATAAGCATTCTTTTATATTTATATTTATCCACCCATTACTGTTGATCCCTTCGTTATTTTGTACAATTCATTCATTTTGGCCCTTCACTGTTTGCCTTGAATATAATACAGATCTTCTGTGTCGCTCTTTACAGGAAAGATCCATAAACTGAAAATTATCTTACAATCCTTGATGTAGCAATGCTTTCTAGCGAATTTACGCCCATTATAAAGTGTAGAGACTAGTACAGTATCCTATAATCTATATAATGTCTCATAAATACACAATAAAGTTGAAGGATAAAATGTATTTTTGTCAGCTCGTCCTCCTAAGGTTTCCCAACGTTAAAGAAACTATCGTACTAAAGTGTCCTTATCCTAAACTACCAGAGGACCTAAAACAAAAAGCGGGACGGTACGTCAATTTCGCGAGCCGCTTCCATGTTCTAGTACGACGATTTTTGGCCTTAGGTAGAGTAAACGTCAAAATGCGACGTTCTATTAGGAGGACAGGTTGCATTTTTTTTACAAGCGCTTCCATGTAATAATTATAATAGGCTATCCTAATGGTTTTGTTACGTTCAATAATACTCTCATTCTTGCCTACATATCTTTACACATGTTGTCCCTTTCTCATGATATGACGAGTATCCTTGAACTAATGTTATATATATATATCTAGAGGCCACCGTAGATATTTCTGTTTTCAAAATATTTATATATATTTGTAATTTAATATTTGTAATTTAAAATTCTCAGCAGGATAATATGTAAGTTCTTAGAAGCCTTGATAAGGCGGTGTGTGCCAAGCTGACTGACGCCTGCACAAAGTGTACATGTGTGGCTCCAGCTCAGCGACCTGCAGGCTTGAGATGACGCATGTCTGGTCGACAATAGTGTCTGTAGGTAATCTCTGGTCGACTGCTAGTCGATTGAACCCAATAACTAGGCAATGGTGGCTATAGTTGGTGCGCGGTGGGCTCCTAGTTGATGCGCGAACACTGAGGCCAGTGAGCGTGTACTGACCAGCGGCGCCTGGCTGGCGGGACAAACGTGAATAGTGATAAAACGAAGGCCACGAGCACACCTGCATCGGGTTACTTTACGCTGAACAGGTGTAGCCATGACTGCTAAGGTGTAGCCATGGCAACTGAGATGCAACTATGGCTACTGAGGTGAAGCCATGACTACTGTGTAGCCATGACACCCGAGGTGTAGCTCAGACAACTGACATGTAGCCATGACTATTGAGATGCAGCTATACAGTACTGGCTAAGGTGCAGCCATGACTGTTGTGAAGCTGTGATAGCTGAGGTGTAACCATATCCTGA